GCTCGTGGAGTCCCGCTATCCGGGTTTAGACCACACTCCTACACCCTTCTTGCTGGAGGGTTTTTTAATTCATGTAGCTTGCTCATCTTCACACAGCTACATTTCTGAGAACTCAGGGTCAGACCTGCACAGTGCACAGGTAAAGAGCATTCCACCCCCAGCATCTCTAAGCGGTTGGGCTACAGTTTAATTTAAGCTTCTGGGTACCATGGCGATAGAGTGCTATAAATACCCCGGAGACTTCTTGCAGCCAGCCCTCTGGTTATTGCGCTCCCCTCGCCACCCCCGTTTCCCACCAGGGCTCCGCTCGCGCGTCTGGGGTAGGAGGGGAAGAAAGCACGCTTGCGCCCTGTGCGCCAGCTCCCGGCCCTCTGCTCCCTGGTTTGCTTTCGCCCAGCACACCCCCACCCTTGAAACCGCGATTTCATCTTCACCTTTTAGAGTGCACAATTCATTTCCTCCTCAGTTAAAGACACATGAGCTCCCAGGTTCCAGAGCACTCCCTGATGAGGGAGTTGGAAACAGGATGGACTCAACCTGAACTTCCAGCCCCAGGATAGCCGCTGGGGTGGGAGAAATCCAGTTCAGTTATTAAAGAAGGAAAGGAAGGACCAGAGAAGGGAGGCAGGCACCACAGAGAGAAAACATGCCCTGCTTCCACGAAGCCAGCTCCACCTGTTAAATCCCTGCTCTCTACTCACCAGGTGGATACTGACAGCTCTGAGCAGGTGGTGGGTCTAACCTCAGCTTGGAATTCAGGGCCCCCAACTCCACCCTCTTATCAACTGTGCTATGATCTGACTTCACTGCCTGCCCCAGGCTCCAAAGCCTCCTCCAACCTCTCCAAATTGACGCACAACCAAATGAAAGCCGGAGTTCAAGGTGATTGATGCTGGCAACCCCGCTCCTTCAAACCAGACTGTGGCCCTGAAGTCTCTCCTTCCTAGGCTTCCTGCCCTGCTAGGACCCAAGAGTAAAAACCTACTGGAGGGCTGGAGATGTAGTTCAGTTGGTGGAGTGGTTGCCTAGCATAGAGGAAGCCCTAGGTTTGAGCTCCAGCACTGCATAAACTGGTATGGTAGTGCAAACCTGTAATCCCAGCTTTCAAGTGGAGGCTGGAAGAATCAGAAGTTCAAGGCCTTCTTTACTTACAAAGTGAGTTTGAAGCCAGCCTAGGCTACGTGAGATTCTATCTTAAAAACAGAACAAAACGAAAATTCCACATGAAGCATCAGTGTTGGAACCTGGGCTATTGTTATAGTCTCAGTTTACTACTCTACAGAATGGAACCAATAAGAACCAAAGCAATAAGCATTAGGCATTTCTCTATCTGGAAATCGAGTAGGCTGTGTTAAGCTTATTTCCATTTCTTTCCCAGCATGGTCTTAAACACTAAGAGCCCAGAAGTATATAAGAAACGTCTTCTGCCTAACTTGCCTGTTGCCAGGGTTTCCTTCTACCCTGTTTTTCTCTGGCTTAGGACATATTTTCTCATCAATGGAAACAAAGAGTTCAGGGCACAATTATGAACCTCAAGTAATGCATGACTAAAGAAAGGGGACATTATTGATTCAAACACAGAATATCACTGTGAATTCCCCAGGACATGTGGGATGGACAGCATGAGGTTGGGAGGTGCAGTCAATGGAGTGGGAAGACAAATCCCAGCAGAGGTTCTCCAAGCCTTCAGCCCCATAGAGTATGTACATACCAACTGGAAACTACTGCTAGATGTAGTGATTCTGGTTTTTCCTTCCTTCCTTATTTATTTTATTTAAAATTATGTGTCTGTGTTAGTTTAAGCACATGAGTGCTGATGTTTATGACCAGAAATATTGGATCCCCCTGGAGCTGATGTTACAAGCAGCTATGAGCCACCTGATATGCGTCCTTCCTCTGCAAGAGCAGTATGTGCTTTTAACCAATGTGCCGTCTCTCCAGTTTTCCTCCCTCCCTTCTTCCTTCCTTCCTTTCCTTTTTTTTCTTTCTGCATTAATTTCCCCTCATCCTCATGAAACATGTTACTCTGTCTCTTAAGACATATATGGAAATGCCCTTTCTTTGTTGTTGCAGTGAGGGACCAGATTTCAGAGGACACTGATTTTAAAACCAAGACAACCTGTCCTGGTTGTCTCCTATGAGCCACGCAACTGGGAAAGCAAATAGAGACTGATTTGGCTGGTGGTCCCTTCTGCTTAGCCCAACAATATCCATTCCCTTGAACTCAGCACATTGCAGCCAGACACAGGTCCAGGAAGAAGGCCAGGAGAGACTGGGGCTGCTTGTCTTCAGTTAGATTCCTGTGGTTCAGTCACCTGTGGAATAACAACCAAATGAGCCTATCACATGGCTCAGCCGGTTTTACCTTTAATCTCTTGCACACTTGCCCTGGGCCTCCAAATGCCTAGGGATGATTCACCCCACATTGTAGGGGGCAGGCAGCCATCTGCTGATGACCTCATCCTGCTTGCAACTTCTGGGAGATAACATGGGATTCTGTTGTTGGAAACAGGAGTGGCAAAGCTTTAAGGAATCAGTTGCTGCTCCCAAGGCCAGGCCTAAAGGTGTGAAGGAGCAAGCTACTTGGAAAATGCCAAACTGTGGGTACCTGAGCTGAAATACATCGAGTGGGGAAGCTTGGTTGGAAAATAAGACACACGAAAACAAACTCAAGCAGCTATGCATGCTTTTTAGGAGGAAAGAGGACATGGATTTGTGTTTTGAGCAGAAAATAGTTCAGTTGGTCTATACTTCAGAGAAGTATGCCGTATGTGAGGATGCTCCAAACAGACCCCAGTGAGGCTCATGAGATGATGGCTCACTGCCCAGGCCAAGCCTTTATATTTCTCATCTCATTTGTGCTTCTCATCCAGCCCCAAAGAGTCTAAATTATTACATGCTTTTTCTCAGAGGGAGAGGCAGGAAGATGGTGAGTTTGAAACCACCCTGGTCTGCACAGCAAAATTCTATCTTAAAAAAAAAAAAAGTGCCCAAACCCTAACAAGAAGTCAAAACAATGTAGGTTAATGTAGGTGGAAGGCACTAGTGCTGGAGTGAGATAGACCTTTTGTGTCTTCTTAGTACCCCTGGCCATCTTGACGTCTTGGTCTTCTCATCCATAGTATGGGAACAAATACAATTAGCTGAGGTCATGTGTGAGATGCACTGTGTCAGTGTTACCGGGGAGCTATTGTTCTAATCAGTAATTGGAGAATGCTGGAAGCAGTGGTTCACACTTGTAATTCTAGCACATGGGAGGCAGAGGCAGGAAGATCAATGAAAGTTCAAGACCATCTTCATCTACATAGTGAGTTCCAGGCCAATCAGAGCTACATAGTGAGACCCTGTCTCATAAAACAAAAATCAAAATCAAATTGGAGGGTTTTGCTGGGGGTATAGTTCAGTGATGGGGTGGTGACCTACCTGCACTTTGGAGAAGGGAAAGAAAAACCATACTAAGCCCTTAAGTCTGTCCTCAGGGCATTTAGAGGTGAGAAGCCCACCCTGAAAGGCCTATCAAAGGGATCTGAGGTCCAAATGAATAAGTCAGGCCTCATTCTGCTTACTGTGGCCCACACAGCACAGGAAGCTGACTGGCTCAGCCCTAGACCGAAGTAGGTAGACAAGCAGATACACATAACTGGGTTCATTCGTGTCTGTTAAAACGGTTAAATTCACACCCGGAGAAACTTAGTTTCTCAAGAAATCTATTATTTATTTCTGTGGTAGCGTTTGCTGTTTTGACTGAGTTAGTCTGGAGCTTCTTGGGTTCAAGCAATCTTCCTGCCTCAGCTTCTTGAGTAACTTGGGGGCGGGCGGGTTAGGGCGGAGCGGAACCGGTGCTCTCCACCGTGCCTGGCAGGAGATGGCTCTCCCTCCTCTTTTGCCACTCGCTGCAAGTCCTGCTGGGGAAGCAGATCTATAGCATTCCTAATTTTAGGGACCCTAAGGAAAGCCAGCTACATTTGCAAATTACTGGAGGGGGGGTTGAAACAACGTGGGGAGAATTGAATAGGAGGGAGACAGATGGTTCAAGTGTAGGGGGAAGGGACGAGAGATCCTTGAAAACTTATGTTCCACGATTTGCAAGAATGTTTTCACTTAACCACTTCGTGCCCGATTCCTGATTCTGTTTCACAGGAAAACAGGGTGTGTCAAGATCAGGGGCCACGGGTGCCCAGAGTCTGGACACTCGGGGTGGAGAGAGGCGAGCTCTGGGAGCCAGAGGCAGAGAGGGTCCTGCCCAGCCTCCCGGGTCTCCCGGCTGCGTCGGGAACAGCCTCGCTTTCGCACGTCAGGGGCCGCGTAGAGGTGGTCGGAGATTGGGGCTGTCCCACGAGGGGGCGCGTCTCGGGCCCGAGGACCCGCCCTCGCGGCGCTGGGCGCGGGGAGGAGACCCGGGAACCCAGGAGCCCGGTGCTCCGCCTCCCGTTTCCGGGGCAGCGCAGTTACCTGCACCGCCGGAGCCGCACCTGGCGGAGGCTGCAGTCGCGGGCTGAGAGCGGCGGCGGCGAGGAGCGACGGCCCCGAGCTGCGGGAGGCGGCGGCGTGGAGCGCACGGCGGAGGACGGCAGGCGGCGGCGCTCGGCCCGC